AAATACCGACAGATTGTTAGGTAAGACACATATGCAACAGTTAGGTATCTTTATTTCGAAACGTTTCGCCTACACAGTAGGCTTCTTCAGTCGAGTACAGAAAAGTTGATAGAAGCAGAAGATACTTGAAGACGATGTAATCAGTCCATCACCCTTCAAGTATCTTCTGCTTCTATCAACTTTTCTGTACTCGACTGAAGAAGCCTACTGTGTAGGCGAAACGTTTCGAAATAAAGATACCTAACTGTTGCATATGTGTCTTACCTAACAAAGTACCTACTACACAAGCCATCGATCCCTTGCGCAGAAAAATTGACGATTCACTTGATCTTCCAATTCCAGCCAGCGATTTCATCGACCTTGTTGAACTATGTGTTGGCTTTACGTGTTTCTCTTTCGAAAATCACCTCTTTCAGCAGACTTTTGACTACCCCATGGGTTCGCCACTCAGTGCAGTCCTGGCGAACCTATACATGGAACATCTAGAAGCCGAACGTTTCTCCACCATTATTCCTTCGTCTGTCACCTGGCTCCGTTATGTTGACGACATTCTCCTCATAACTCCTAAACGCTTCAACGTTCAAGCTCTCCAAGACAAGCTCAACCAGGTCGAGCCTTCAATCCAGTTCACACTTGAAGAAGAAGTCGACAACATCCTTCCTTTCCTTGATGTCCCTGCTCTGCAAAGCTGACCACGAACTTCGTTTTAAAGTCTATCGAAAACCCACCAACCAAAACGATCTTCTCCACTCTATTCTCACCACGACACCAAAACCAAACGTGGTGTAATTATAGGCTTCTTCCTGCGTGCACTCAGAATCTGCAGCAACGAGTTCCTTGAGGAAGAATGCACTATAATTGAACAAATATTTTCTAAACTCCACTATCCTCGTCACTTCATCAGAGACTGCAGACGGCGAGCACTAAACATCTTCAACACACCCAGAGAAGACACTGCCGAGAAGAGATACATAGTCCTTCCCACCAACTTCATTGCCAAACATGTTTCCAACATTTTTGCCAAAACATCATTCCAAGTATCTACCTCCACAACCACGACCATCAAGGACATCACCAGTAGTAGGCAGACAAGCCTCCATCCTCTGCAGGGGTATACATAATCCCTTGTAATGACTGCAACAAGTTATACGTGGGCGAAACATCAAGGGACCTCCAAACACGTACACCAATACGCAAGCAGGTCTGACGACACAAGGAATGCCTGCGTACAACACCGTAATTCACACAACCACTTGATAAACTACAGAAACTCAAGACTTATCGCCACAGAAGACAACACTCAATACCGAAGAATCCTGGAATCATCACTCATTTCTATATCCGACAACTTCAACCAGAATAGTGGCTTCTATAACATAGCTGAACCACTTGCCAAGAAACTTCTTCATCGCTATCCCACATAAGAACACTGTAGAAGGTCTGCTCACAAACTTATCCAATCTCCTTTCCAAGCTACCCAAGTTTTTAGACTCTATAACCCCACTCGTACATCATCAGATGCAGCATTCTTCACCTGACCTCAGCCGGACTATAAATACTCGCGTTCCTTCCACCCCAGGTAGTTCTGTTTGTGACTTGAAAAAGCCCACTGTGTGGGCGAAACGTAGTCAATAAAGGATCACATTATACTGCATTTGTGTTTATATTGCCAGAATTAGTTTTTCTTGACCCTCCACGAACTCTACCCAAACAGACTCTGTTACTGCTCCATCTATTTTTATACCTGTTTTTATGCAACAATTAATATTTTCTCGAACATACAATGCAACTCCTCCCCCTTTCCCATTACATCTATCCACATTGAACAACTTAAATCCCTGAATATTACACTCAGCAGTCATATCCCGACTCTTTAAATCATACCACGTTTCAGTTAATGCAATGATATCAAAGTTCCCAGCACATGCTACCAAACGTACTTCATTAATTTTATTTCTTGCACTTCGACTGTTAGCATAAAATACCATCATATGTTTTTTCTTCTGCACATTTTTCCTATTCATCTTTGTTTTTACACAATTTCTGAAATTATCATTACCCAGAGTTATTCCATGACAGTTACTATTAAGATTCTTAATATCAGAGCATAAGTCATATATATCCATACTCATTATTTAATCATTTCTAAACCCATACCTCTAACTAATCCTAGTTTAAAGTCCTAACAACCCCCTCAACTGAGTTAGCAAGGAAAACCCACACCTGCCCTGGATAAGTGAACCCCATCCCCTGCATACATGTCATTTCGGCCATAGAAGTTGTCCCAGTTGTCAATGAATGGTACTGCATTATCCTTACAGTGTTTATCCAGCCAACAATTAATACCAATTGCTCTGGACAACCATTCATTACCAACACCTCTTCTTGGCAAAATGCCACATATAACAGGGCCCCCCCCTTCTTCCTAATCATGTCTATAGCTGTCCTGAACTTTCTAACTAAATCCTCACTTCTACGCTTGCCTACATCATTGCCTCCAGCACTGAGGCAAATAATAGGATTGATCCCATTACCGTTCATGATGTTGTCAAGCCGGCTAACAATGTCCTCCATCCCAGCCCCAGGAAAGCATACCCTTTGTCTCCTACTCCTGTCCTTCAAGCAGAATGCCCTATCCATGTATCTAACCTGGCTATCCCCAACAACAACAATATTCATACCTTCATTGTTGTCGTTCGTCGTGACGATCCCAGTAGTAGACTCACATTCGTCGGGTAGCACCGAGAATGCGTTGGAGGTTTCCACGGGAGTTTCCACAGCAGTCTCTTTCTTGAACATTAAAATGGTATGAAATACCGACAGATTGTTAGGTAAGACACATATGCAACAGTTAGGTATCTTTCTTTCGAAACGTTTCGCCTACACAGTAGGCTTCTTCAGTCAAGTACAGAAAGGTTGATAGAAGCAGAAGATACTTGAAGACGATGTAATCAGTCCATCACCCTTAAAGTTTTGAGGTGGTCAGTCCCTCAGTCTGGAGAAGAGCATTGTTCCGTTGTCTGAAACAATTGTTTCAGACAACAATTGTTTCAGACAACGGAACAATGCTCTTCTCCAGACTGAGGGACTGACCACCTCAAAACTTTAAGGGTGATGGACTGATTACATCGTCTTCAAGTATCTTCTGCTTCTATCAACCTTTCTGTACTTGACTGAAGAAGCCTACTGTGTAGGCGAAACGTTTCGAAATAAAGATACCTAACTGTTGCATATGTGTCTTACCTAACAGTCTCTTTCTTCTTCATCGTTTCTGGCTTTCCAGTCGTCTTCTTGATCGTCAACTTCGTCGTCCCCTGCTGTCCAGCCACTGACCACGATCCCTTCTTGACCTGAGGACTCGAAACAGGAGGACTACTACGAATCCTCTTGTTTTCCTCGGTCAATCTCCGTATCTCCATCTTCGCTGCCCTCAATTCTTCCTTAAGTTGCTGGTAAAGTTGCTCGATGGAGGGCATCTTGGTTAAGTCCACGGAGCAAACAAGACACTTCTTCACAGAGTTAAGTATAGGTCAGCACTCAAAGTACAGGCCACAACTCAAGAGCACACAAACAGGTCTTCACAGGGCTAAGTACTTCTGCCATTTTCCTATGAAGCTCGTTATGCTTTCAAGTAGTCACAGCTCGATCTGCGTTAGCAGTACACGCGTCTTGTATTTATATCATCTAGCATATCCTGCAACAGCACCTCACCTCCAACATAATGTAGGAACACTGCAGCAGGCCTACTGGCCCGTACTTGGGAAACCCAAACCTGTAGACAAAAAATACTCCTCCAGCTCTTAAACAAGAAATAAGCTTTGATTATGGAACTATGAGAACATAACATAAGAACATAAGAAAGGAGGAACACTGCAGCAGGCCTGTTGGCCCATACTAGGCAGGTCCTTTACAATTCATCCCACTAAGAACATAAGAAAGGAGGAACACTGCAACAGGCCTATTGGCCCATACTAGGCAGATCCTTTACAATTCATACCATTTGACCAACCCAATTTTCAATGCCTCCCAAGAAATAAGCTCTGATGTGCAAGTCCCACTCAAATCCAGCCCCTCCCACTCATGTACTTATCCAACCTAAATTTGAAACTACCCAAAGTCCTAGCCTCAATAACCCAACTAGGTAGACTGTTCCACTCATCAACTACCCTATTTCCAAACCAATACTTTCCTATGTCATTTCTAAATCTAAACTTATCTAATTTAAATCCATTACTGCGGGTTTTCTCTTTGAGAGATATCCTCAAGACCTTGTTAATATCCCCTTTATTAATACCTATCTTCCACTTATACACTTCGATCAGGTCTCCCCTAATTCTTCGTCGAACAAGTGAATGTAACTTAAGAATTATCAATGTTTCTTCATGAGGAAGTTTTCTAATGCTATGTATTAATTTAGTCATCCTACGCTGAATGTTTTCTAACGAATTTATGTCCATTCTGTAATATGGAGACCAGAATTGAGCTGCATAATCTAGGTGAGGCCTTACTAATGATGAAATTGAGACACTTATGCAGCATATGGGAATCTTTATTCAGGAAACGTTTCGCCACAACAGTGGCTTCTTCAGTCCAATACAAAGAGGAAGGCGTAAGGAGAGGTATTTATTACCAAGGTTTATACCAGTCTTGTAATGTACATTTAAAAATAATGTGAAACGTAATAACACTGAAGAGTTTTGCACCTTTATTTACAAAATTGCAATAATTATTTTTCTAATTCATTTGTGAAAAAATAGGAAGAAATGTTACTTCCATTTTCACATGTCCAATAAAAAATGTCATTTTATAAGAATCAACTTAAAAAGCTATTCAGTCATACAGAAATAGTTACTATGACAATTATCTTTATAAGCCGTGAACACGACTCAGATGAGCCGTTAATTTTGTCTTCCGATTGAAGGAGCAATCACAATTAGTACACTGGAAGCGTCGATGGGCACCATGAGACTCTTGGTGTCTTTTAAGGTGGCCTTTTGATGCTACCGTAATGCCACATTCTGGACAGGTAACCGAACGTTCTGGTTTATAATGGTATGGTGTTGTGCGATGTCCCTCTTGTGATGCGATTTATGAGCACGAGCAAGATGGTCTTGCAGAAAATCACGTCGGCTGAAAGAGCAGTCACAATGCGAACACCTGAAGCTTCGATCAGCACCATGAGTAGCGAGGTGCCTTTTAAGATGTCCTCTTGAAGCTACACTTAATCCACATTTAGGACAGGTAACGCAGTATTCGGGTTTAAAATTGTTTAATAGTGGGTGGCGTTTGCCGACCCTTATTTTGCCTGGATTCTTAATATCTCCAGGAGTGGAGTGGATAAAGTGGCTGCCACTCGCGCAGATGGTGCTGGTAACCTGACTGCTATTACAGGAATCAGTGACCTTGGGAAGGCCATGCGAGAGCACATTTTGGGAGCCACCGAGAAGAGAGAAACTGAAAATTTCTGGGACATAGGGAGAGACCTCGACAGAATTAATACTCTCGACATCTGCTCCTGTTCTCTCTTCTGTAGAAAAACAATAAAGACAATAGAGTACGATAATACATATTACGCGTCAATGTCTCATAAAATGCCAAGATCATTGGTAAAAAAAATATAACTTTCTGGGAAACAAGATGCTAAAACATGTTACATAAAACATAGAGGCAGAACTTGCCTACCATTTAAAATCTACTCTGAGTATTCGAACATTTATTTTTTATACAGAGTATTAAGATAATTTATATCCTGTTAATGTGTATGTCTTATTTTATGTGAATCTTTAAAAAAAAACAGAGAAACATTTCTTAAACATTTTACGTACCACTGAAACTCTTCATGTCTAATTCGTCTATGTCTTCAAAAAGTTTCTGGCAGAGATCAGAGAGTATATCCCTGGATGGTGACGGTACATTTTCCGCCACACTTGAAACACGATAACCACATTCTGAAATTAGCGGTAAATTAGGATAACGTTAACACTTTCAAATAGAGGAATAAATTCAGTAAAGTGAATATATAAAAATTACAACAAAAATGAAATTTGTTAAAAATATTTAGAGGAAAAAAAGCACTTACTTTCGGAATATAGATTCATTGCGGGCACGGGAGAGCCAGCAACAGTTCTTTCCGAACATCCATATACTTCTGCCATTTTCCTATGAAGCTCGTTATGCTTTCAAGTAGTCACAGCTCGATCTGCGTTAGCAGTACACGCGTCTTGTATTTATATCATCTAGCATATCCTGCAACAGCACCTCACCTCCAACATAATGGAGGAACACTGCAGCAGGCCTACTGGCCCGTACTTGGGAAACCCAAACCTGTAGACAAAAAATACTCCTCCAGCTCTTAAACAAGAAATAAGCTTTGATTATGGAACTATGAGAACATAACATAAGAAAGGAGGAACACTGCAGCAGGCCTGTTGGCCCATACTAGGCAGGTCTTTTACAATTCATCCCACTAAGAACATAAGAAAGGAGGAACACTGCAGCAGGCCTATTGGCCCATACTAGGCAGATCCTTTACAATTCATCCCATTTGACCAACCCAATTTTCAATGCCTCCCAAGAAATAAGCTCTGATGTGCAAGTCCCACTCAAATCCAGCCCCTCCCACTCATGTACTTATCCAACCTAAATTTGAAACTACCCAAAGTCCTAGCCTCAATAACCCAACTAGGTAGACTGTTCCACTCATCAACTACCCTATTTCCAAACCAATACTTTCCTATGTCCTTTCTAAATCTAAACTTATCTAATTTAAATCCATTACTGCGGGTTCTCTCTTGGAGAGATATCCTCAAGACCTTGTTAATATCCCCTTTATTAATACCTATCTTCCACTTATACACTTCGATCAGGTCTCCCCTAATTCTTCGTCGAACAAGTGAATGTAACTTAAGAATTATCAATGTTTCTTCATAAGGAAGTTTTCTAATGCTATGTATTAATTTAGTCATCCTACGCTGAATGTTTTCTAACGAATTTATGTCCATTCTGTAATATGGAGACCAGAATTGAGCTGCATAATCTAGGTGAGGCCTTACTAATGATGAAGATTGAGACACTTATGCAGCATATGGGAATCTTTATTCAGGAAACGTTTCGCCACACAGTGGCTTCTTCAGTCCAATACAAAGAGGAAGGCGTAAGGAGAGGTATTTATTACCAAGGTTTATACCAGTCTTGTAATGTACATTTAAAAATAATGTGAAACGTAATAACACTGAAGAGTTTTGGCACCTTTATTTACAAAATTGCAATAATTATTTTTCTAATTCATTTGTGAAAAAATAGGAAGAAATGTTACTTCCATTTTCACATGTCCAATAAAAAATGTCATTTTATAAGAATCAACTTAAAAAGCTATTCAGTCATACAGAAATAGTTACTATGACAATTATCTTTATAAGCCGTGAACACGACTCAGATGAGCCGTTAATTTTGTCTTCAGATTGAAGGAGCAATCACAATTAGTACACTGGAAGCGTCGATGGGCACCATGAGACTCTTGGTGTCTTTTAAGGTGGCCTTTTGATGCTAAACCCTAATGCCACATTCTGGACAGGTAACCGAACGTTCTGGTTTATAATGGTATGGTGTTGTGCGATGTCCCTCTTGTGATGCGATGTTATGAGCACGAGCAAGATGGTCTTGCAGAAAATCACGTCGGCTGAAAGAGCAGTCACAATGCGAACACCTGAAGCTTCGATCAGCACCATGAGTAGCGAGGTGCCTTTTAAGATGTCCTCTTGAAACTACACTTAATCCACATTTAGGACAGGTAACGCAGTATTCGGGTTTAAAATTGTTTAATAGTGGGTGGCGTTTGCCGACCCTTATTTTGCCTGGATTCTTAATATCTCCAGGAGTGGAGTGGATAAAGTGGCTGCCACTCGCGCAGATGGTGCTGGTAACCTGACTGCTATTACAGGAATCAGTGACCTTGGGAAGGCCATGCGAGAGCACATTTTGGGAGCCACCGAGAAGAGAGAAACTGAAAATTTCTGGGACATAGGGAGAGACCTCGACAGAATTAATACTCTCGACATCTGCTCCTGTTGTCTCTTCTGTAGAAAAACAATAAAGACAATAGAGTACGATAATACATATTACGCGTGATGACAGTGGTGACGTGTACTTAGCTCTGTGAAGACCTGTTTGTGTGCTCTTGAGTGGTGACCTGTACTTTGAGTGCTGACCTGTACTTAACTCTGTGAAGAAGTGTCTTGTTTGCTCCCGTGGACTGAACCAAGATGCCCTCCATCGAGCAACTTTACCAGCAACTTAAGGAAGAATTGAGGGCAGCGAAGATGGAGATACGGCGACTGACCGAAGAAAACAAGAGGATTCGTAGTAGTCCTCCTGTTTCGAGTCCTCAGGTCAAGAAGGGATCGTGGCAGGGGTTTGGGAAACAGCAGGGGACGACGAAGTTGACGATAAAGAAGACAATGGAAAGCCAGAAACGATGAAGAAAGAGACTGCTGTGGAAACTCCCGTGGAAACCTCCAACGCATTCTCGGTGCTACCCGACGAACGGGAGTCTACTACTGGGATCGTCACGACGAACGACAAAAAAGGGAAGGTAAGAATATTGTTGTTTTTGGGGGAAATAGCCAGGTTAGATACAGGATAGGCATTCTGATTGAAAGACAGGAGTAGGAGACAAAGGGTATGCTTTCCGGGGGCGGGGATGGAGGACATTGTTACCCGGGCTTGACAACATCATGAACGGTAATGGATCAAACCTATTATTTGCCTCAGTGCTGGAGGCAATGATGTTGGCAAGCGTAGAAGGGGGATTTAGTTAGAAAGTTCAGGACAGCTATAGACATGATTAGGAAGAAGGGGGGGCGCCCTGTTATATGTGGCATTTTGCCAAGAAGAGGTGTTGGTAAAGAATGGGTTGTCCCAAACAATTGGATTAATTGTTGGCTGGATAAACACTGTAAGGATAATGCAGTACCATTCATTGACAACTGGGACAACTTCTATGGCCGAAATGACATGTATGCCAAGGATGGGGGTTTACTTATCCAGGGCAAAGGGGTGGGTTTTCTTGCTAACCTCAGTTAGGGGGTTGTTAGGACTTTAAACTAGGATTAGTTAGAGGTATGGGTTTTTGCAGGAAAACTGTGAAGTCGCAGGGTAGTAATATGAGTACTAGGAGAACTAGTAATAGGCAAAATGAGGTGGATATTGGAAAGCCAGTGGCAATAATTGACAAGGACAGTAATAGGTTTAGTGGAATAATAGAAAAAAGCAGGAAGGGTAAAGAGAGAGGGGGTCATTAAAAGTTTATTACACAAAAAAGTCGCAGTGCTAGGAATAAGATGGCGAGTTGAGACTTTGTTTGCTAGTGCAGGGAACATAGATGTATTTGCCATTACTGAGACGTGGTTTTAATTCAAAAAGTCGGGACATGCCTGCAGTATGTCACATTCAGGGTTTTAAATTGTTCCAAGTAGATAGAAGTATCGGGAAGGGGGGTGGGGTGACATTGTATGTCCGAGATCGCTTGAACTGTTGCATAAAAACGGGTATTAAGTCTGAAGTAACACATACAGAGTCTGTTTGGATGAATTTTCAGAGGGGCATGAAAAAAAAATTTTGTGTGATATACCCCCCCCAATTTTTGATAGGGACCAAGGGGGGGACTACTATGGGAGGAAATTGTTTGGGGGCCCCAAGGCCGTAAAAATAGTAATTCTAGGAGACTTT